TGTCTTCATCACACGTAGACTTCATGCGCAGACTGACTTCCCTGGGGAGCTTAGATCAGGGAAGGGAGGTAGATAAGTGGAGGAAGGGGGGAGATGAAGGGCAGGAGTGGGAGAACTCCTATTGAATCAGGATTAGGGTGTTTTTTTTTTTTTTAGCAATTTTCAAAATGTGGTTATTTGACTGTTTAGTTTTGGTGGTTATTTATAACCCCAGCTGCAGAGGCGGGGAGCCGTGCCTGAGCCCGCTGGGATCTGTCCAATACCTTCCCCCAGGGTGGGGTTGGGGGTGGGTGGTAGATAAGGGTGATAACAGGAACCAAATTCACAAGCGGCCAAGAAGGGAAGAGAAGTTGCAGGCCACCCTCCAAGAAGAGTGAGAAAGTGACCAGTAGTGACAGTGCTGACTCCATGTTGAAGGCAGCTGTGAATGAAAGGATTTTAATATGAATTACAGTCGCATCGGCAACCTCTGAGGTTCTTCCGAAGGGACAGAGACTAGGCCAACACTTCTACTCAGAAGTCAGGAGATTGGCCCGGCTACACTAGCCACTCTGAAGGTCAAGGCAGGCTTTCCCACCTTACAGGACAGTTGTCTGCACACAGAAGAAACTACTGTCTCTATCCTCTCCTGGCACATCCCTGGTCAAAAACAGGCTTAGAGGAGAGAGGGTGGCTGGTTCTGTGCAAGTCTTTCCTAACTGAGCCAACACTTGGCAGTAGCCGCTGAATTTACTGACCCTTGGAGATGTCAGGAAGCCAGGGAGAAGTCGCCCAGGCAAGGCTGCCAACCTCCAGGAGCCAGACCTCTGAAGTAAAAGACAAACAACTCCACTTTGCATTTGAAATACAGTACCTATCATTTTACTGGCAGGGGAGCATTTTAAAGGAAACTCAGGGATCTTTTTTTTTTTTTTTTTAATTTTATTTATTTATTTGACAGAGAGACACAGCGAGAGAGGGAACACAAGCAGGGGGAGTGAGAGAGGGAGAAGCAGGCTTCCTTCCAAGCAGGGAGCCCGATGCGGGTCTCCATCCCAGGACCCTGGGACCATGACCTGAGCCGAAGGCAGACGCTTAACGACTGAGCCACCCAGGCGCCCGGAAACTCAGGGATCTTTTAGGGAGCTTACAAATGTGACTGAAGAGATAAGATACAGATACAAGAAGGAAAAGGCACAAGAACATACACAAAAGATCAGTCCCACGCCCCCTGCCCTGTTCAGTTCCTCTTTGACTCTGGGTAAGGTTATTGTTACAGCAGGATTCGCACTGGTCTCCCTGCCACTCTGATTAGTCCCCCTCACGGCTTCCAGAAAGAGATCTCTAAAGTGCAAGTGTGATCGTGGGACTACTCTGCTTAAAGTCCTTCCAAGATGTTCCATCACCTCCTGTCCGGGCTCCTCAGCAGGGCGTTGCCCAAACCATTCCTGCCTTTTCCTTTTGCGAGCCAAGCCCCCAGCTCCACCCTGCTGTTGGTCACCTCCATGCACAATGCTGCTCCGTCCCTCTGCGCTTTTGTGCACGCTCCTCCCTTTGCATGGAAAGCCCCTCTTCTCCTTGCCCGCTGGCAAACTCATCTGTCCTATGAAACCCCACTCTTCTTTTACCTATTCTAGAAATCCTTTCCTTTACCCTCCAGACAAAACACTCTACTTCCTCCTCTGTACCACTTCTGACCCTTGCTCGTCCTTCTATTTTCCCATTAATACTCTATAGTATTTGGGGACCATGAGATTACTGACTTGGGGAGACATGCTGTCTTGCCCATATTGGGTGTGACTCAAAACCTGGGCTAGAATTCCCAGGTAATTACTCTGCATTTCTTGAGCTGAAGTGAGGGTGAACAGACAAAAGCAAACAATCACTAGACCATGTAAAGATATATTGACTAACAGTAGGATGTTAGCCATGACTAGGGTGACTGGAATTATAAATATCAGCAACAGCCATTTACAGAGTATATACTCTGGCAGGAACTGTGCTAAGTGCTTTACGACAGTCGTCTCCTTGAATCTTTACAACAACCTTGTGGGGTGGCTATTAGTGTCTCCATTTCACGGATAGGAAAACTGAGGCACAAATTCAAAAACCTGTCTGAGAGCCATGCAGACAAGTGGCAGAGCTGAGGGGCACCTGGGTGGCTCAGTTGGTTAAGCATCTGCCTTCGGCTCAGGTCATGATCCCGGGGTCCTGGGATTGAGCCCCACATCAGGCTGCTTTCTCAACCAGGAGCCTGCTTCTCCCTCTGCCTCGGCCACTCCTCCCTGCTTGTACTCTCTCTCTCTCTCTGTCAAATAAATAAATAAAATCTTAAAAAAAAAAAAAGAAAGTGGCAGAACTGAAAGTCAATTCCCGATCTGACATCAGAGCCCTGGGCTGGGTACTAGTAGAGCTATGAATAAAATAAATAGGAGTTCCTATTATCTGTTTGGAAAGGAGAAAGGGGAACAGAACATCGACCAAACTGTATAAGGAAAAGTATAAATATAGTAGTAAATGTAAAATAATATATCACTATGCCCTACTACCTTAGAATGAATAAATCAGGAAAGATTTTCTTCTTTTTTTCTTTTTTTAAAGATTTACCTATCCATTTTAGACAGAGGGGAAGAGCTCAAGAGAGCATGAGTCGGGGGAGGGGCAGAAGGAGAGACTCTTCAAGAAGACCCCCTGCCGAGCTCGGAGTTTGAGGTGATAGGTTCCATCCCAGATCCATGAGATCATGACCTACATGACCTACACTTAACCGTCTGAGCCACCCAGGCACCCTAATCAGGAAAGACTTTCTGAAGAAAGTAAATGTTCAAGAAAGTTGGGAGATGCATCCAGGCAGGAGAAAAAGCCCGTGTGAAAGTGTAAAGGCAGGAGAAACAGTGGAGCTGGGCTGCCTGTGTGAAGTCTGGCATATGAAGATGGGCCAGGGGCAACTAGTCAAGAAACTCTGAAACCAACATCAGTTTCTGCTTCAAGAGCTAATTGCGCCATGATGAAAATGACCCTCAAAGTAAAGATTATATTTGATCCAGAAAAAGAAATGAAGGGAAAAAAAAGCTTTTAGGGTTCCCTCTTCCCCATTCTAAATATACCTAGCTGTTCCACTTTCATCTTAAATACACATTTTCCTTTTGATCATCTTTCTATCCTATTGATGTTAGTTTTTTTCATCTTTCTTCCAGAGTGCACTCTTTCCAAGGACAAGAACCATGTCTAAATGAAACTGTAAATTCTTCAGTGTCAGCTGCAGTGTTTGAGAATCCAGTGTAAGCAATTAATGTTGAACATTTGTAATGCTGGTATTTGTATGATGAATGGTTAAATCAGGATAAGATCTTATTCTAAAATACTAATTTCCAGGGAGGGATATTTCACCATCTTTGAGTGCCATCCATTCAGAGATTGTGGAACAATAAACATGTCCTGATTGACTAGCAAGTATTTAGTGTGGGCAGAGCACGGTCTGGGCACACAATTAAGGACGATACACAAAACTGAGTTATGCTCTTAACACAAGAGCTCCTTACTCTAGTCTGGGAGCCAGAGCATCCACGACTGACCTCAGGCACACACCAGTAAATGCAAAATAACAGTAATAGTGGGAAATTAAATGGAGAGATACAAGAGGAAGAAACGTGAGCCCTTTTCCAAGAAGTTCTTATGTGCAGTTCAACCTTAGGTAGGTTATTCAGAGGTATTTATACTAAACACTAAAAGCTAAATACTAAATACTGAAAGCTGCCTGTGTTACCAGCAGCCCAGAATATCCCCGATGACAGTGCTGGCTAAAGGTCTGGAACTTTAACTTCAGAGTCCTCTGTTTTTCTCATCAATCAGATGTTTACCTTCTGCTGCTTTGTTCTTTAGCTCTGCTCATGGGGAACTCAGGTGAAACTGGGGTCCAGGATTCTAACTTAATGACTGAGCATGCCTGGATTCCACCCAGTCGCTTTCCGCCAACCTTTGGTTCTCTCAAAGCATTTCCTCCAGCGAGGTTAAATCCTCAACGCCTGCTCATCATTTCCCAGCTTTTTAAAATAGCTCTTCTAGCCAGATATTCTTGACCAACTTTTCCTTCTTCTCACAACTGACCCTATTATTATTATCATTTAAATATCCATGCCTTTTTTAAGCTCCAGCTTCACTAAAAATATTCCTTCCTCTTCTCCCCCCCCCGTCCCCCCGCCCCCCCACTACTGGCTCAAGCATTTAGATTTACAGAGGTCACTTGGGCTAAATGGGGTTCACTGCTTCTCCGATACTGGTACCGCACCGGCACCCGCCCCCACCCCCACCCCCACCCCCGCGGGGCCACCCAGGGCTCTCAAACCCATACAGAACGGGGAAAGGAGGTGGGCGCTCACCATTAAGTGAAACTGGGAATTCTTTGGAGCTACAGCTTCTGGAGAATGGTTTTACCTCTTTCCGCGACGTGAACAACTAACTTACTTGCTGTTCGCTAAGGGCAAGGACAATGTCTCCTCTACCAGAAACAAACTTACTGATGATGGACGCTACCCTTTAGTTCCTTTTATAAGCCCCCATTCCCACCACTTTGTGATGCAGGATGGCTTTTAAGATACAAGTTCTTGTGCAAAATATCCCTTCCCAACTTTGAGTTTATATAATAAACAGAAATGTCCTTTAGCCAATTAGGCAACGAAGGGGTTAAACCTCAGCCACCTGATGGATTCTGGGGGTTTCCTTCCTCGACTTCAGAAATTAAAACGACCGGGAAGGGAAATTTTGCCCAAGGTAAAGATGAGAACTGCTAACTTCAATTGTCAGGCTTCAGCCCCAAACAAGAATGGCTGCCCACGTCCACAAAAGGTGCCAATCCCCTAACTAAAAATGGCTGGCCCGGATTTCTACTACTGTGCTACTTTCTGCCCAATTCCAAAATGGCGCTCACTAGCCTCACCAAGAGGAGCGAACCTCCCAGCACCCTCTCAGGCCCTCAACGTCAGGTGACGCGAGCCCCAGCCGGAAGTGAAGGAAAAAGCGCCTCAGCCCGCGGCGCCTGCGCAGAAGAGTCTAGACGCTGTGAAGCAGGAGGCACTTGGGATCGTCCGCAGGATTGGGACTGCTACAGAGGCCGCCACGGAGCCCGCCGGAGCCACCGTTCCTACTGCTGCTGCCGCCGCTGCCCGAATCGGAACTGTCGGGCTGCAGCCGCCGGCAATGCCGCGAAGGAAGGTGAGAGGAACGGGACAGAAGGGATGGCGGGTGTCTAAGGACAGTCGATTGAGCAACGTGACGCAGTTGGCCACGCCTCACAGTGGTTGGGTTCCAACTTCCCGCTCCCCCGAACCTAGCTCAGCAACCTTCTCTTCTGTCCATACCCAACAGAAAAATGTGGGCCCGATCCTGGCCTCGGCCTGTGCTTGCAACTATTCCCGCCCTCTGCTTGCCTGGCTCGGAGGCGTTCTTCTCGTTAATTGGTTGCTGAAACGCCTAGAAGCATATTGATTGGCTGGTGGCACCGCCCATTTGGGTCCAACGGTCACCTCCCCGCGTGCGGGGGCTGTGTCGGGGCCCGGCCCTACCGCTCTCCGACTGGCTGTGGAGAACGATCCCTCCTCTCTTGATTGGCTAGGCTTGGCAGTCTGTCCCGTGGGGGCGCGGTGTAGCAGTAGCGCCATTGGGTGGCACGAATCCCCGCCCTTCCGGCCGGTGATGCTGATAGGTGCATAGGCGGGGTTTTGGAGCATCCTTCCTTTCCAGGCGGGGGGCACAACAAAGCAGAGGACTGGGTGGTAAGGAACCAGCGCCCACTCCCTAGGGATCCCACTCAGGCCTGTTGCATCTAAGCAGTAATTTTTCCTTATTTGCCCAGTTGGACAGCGGCCAGAAAATGCAGTTCGTAAAGGCAAAAACTTTCCAGAGTTAGATGGGATTTATAAGGTCACCGAGGGATACCCCCATCCCTTTTCTTTGCAGCTGAACAAACAGAGACCTAATGGAGTGCCCCAAGCCACTCCCATTAGGCAATAGCGGAGCCAGGACTACAGAACAAATCTAATTAAATTCAACCCATGTTTATTGACTACTTGCTACTGTACTAGTTGCTGGGGACTCACGAATTAATTAGACATGATCCCTGGCTTAAGGAGATCACAGTCTGATGGGGAAAACAGACATATAAATAACTGTAGAAGGAGCTAGTAAATTCTCTACTTGGGGGTATATAACGAGTATTGTGGGAGGGAAGTGAGGGAGCAGTTAAGTCGCCTGTGGAGTAAGATGGGAAGTGGATGGTGCAAGCCAGAGAGAAGAGCTGAATTTCAGGGTCAAACCAGGAGGGGATGGTCAGGGGACCATCTGGGTAATTGGACTAGACGACCTTTAAGACTCCCCCTTCATCCCATGGATTTTCTGGAGCCTCTGCTCATTTCTGGGCAGATTACCCTTGAAATATTTGGAAACTGCATGGTATTCTTGCTCATTTCTGCAGAAATCTTTCTTTTCATGGAGGTTTTCAAACATCTGTACCTTTTATTTCCTCCTAGAAATGGCCTACACTCTTAGGTGGTATTATGTTAAGGCTCACCACATGCTGGAATAGTATTGGTGCCTTGGAATAGGTCCACAGGCCCCTTTCTGCAATTCCCAAATACAAAGAGCTTTTGAAAATATGTTTTTAGTAACATTTGGTTGGCAAAACCTGTCTTAAAATATGCTGAGGCTACTTAAAGTTTTTGTGTGTCTTGTGGGGTGTGATTGTTTATATATTCTGCTGTAGAAATATTAACGTGTTTGATGATGGGGTGTTGCTTACAGGATATATGCAAAGTATTCCCTTTCCAAAAAGCCAAAAAGTTATGAATTTCAAACACAACTGGCCCTAAGGGTTTTGAATAAAAAACAGGGGGCTTGTAGCTTGAAGTTTTATATGGTTTTCTAAGCAAATACTCTTCCCCTTTCTGTCTTAGTAAAGGGTGTAGTGTTAATGTTCAGCTGTTAAAAGTTATATGTATGACTAATCATGCTTCAGGAAGATAATAATTGACAAATAATTATTAATTGAAGAGATGATAAAATCTCTGTTCTTGAATATCTACAAGTCTTCATGTGCAAGCTACTTTTTTTTTTTTAAGCACTTTTGGTATTCATGTGGAGAAACTTCATAGGTAGATAACATAAGAAAGAAGAATTTTAGTCTTTTTCTTTACGTTCTCTTGGGATCAGAGTTGTGGATCATGATATTTTGAATTAGTATATGGTTTAAAAAAACGTGATGGCCTTTCGTGGAGACTTTGAACAAAAGCTACTCTAAAGGTAAAAGGAGACTAGCACTGATATTTTTCTCATCACCATGGACTTCAAGTGCATAGCATTGTTGGCCAGACAATTTTGAATTGGGTACTTTTATTTCCAGTTTGTAGTACTGACTGATAAATGGGTTTGTTTCAGAAGTAGTGTTAATGAAGTAAGAAATCATTCATTCATTCATTTATAAAGGTGCATTATTTGTAGGTTGTTCCGTTTAAATGCCTTAAGTAAAGGGAATTTGGCGGTGGAATCCTTCTTTAGTGTTTTCAGGATCATGGTTCACTTTATTTCCAGTGTTAACACAAACCCACAGAGTAAATGCTTCTGTGCTAATGTCTGGATCTATGGTGTTACAGAGGAATGCAGGCAGTAGTTCAGATGGAACCGAAGATTCCGATTTTTCTACAGATCTCGAGCACACAGACAGTTCAGAGAGTGATGGTACATCCCGGCGATCTGCCCGAGTTACTCGCTCTTCAGCCCGGCTGAGCCAGAGTTCCCAAGGTATAAGAATTCATTCTTCCTGATCACGCCTCACTGCCTACCCACTGGTCATGTTATTGTGTTAATATGGAAACTGGTCCCTTGGCTTGGTGTAGGTGACAGAATCTGGTAAAATGCAGAGTGAATGACTGCAGAAGTATCGAGTCTTAATGGTTCTGTTGGGAGTGTTGTCCAATTTGGAGACCCAAAGGAACTATGTCTGATATAATGGCTGTGTGACACATGGATGTCTTAAGTCGTTTAACTTTTTTTTAGACTACCTTTTTCCATCAATAAGATGGGAATGCCATCTCTTTACTTTCTGTTAGAATGGTTTAGACTTAGGGACTTAGAAGAGTCTCTTGACCTTGTTTTTGGAGGAGGTTCAGTACTTCTCAGTACTTCTAAAACTTGTACTTAATTCTGTTATGTACTCAGACACAATTAGTGAATATAAATAGTTGCACCCAACTGTCAGTTGTAAATACCTAGAATTTTGCTTTGGTAGTAAAGAATGGAGAATCTCTGTGTTGGAAGGTAGTTTGAAGGTTCTCTTCTGCAATTAGCCATCTCGGCTTAGATTTGGAGGGTACCCCTGATCCCTCCTGGTTCTGCTCTGGGATTCCCTGTGGAGGAAAGAAGGTTGCAGTTAATGCAAAAAGCTGATAATCAATAGGTGATAACAGATTAAGAGGGAAAAATTTGTAGTATGCTTTGAGCACTTAAATAGTGCCAATTTGGTTACTACTTCATGAGCACATTGCAAAATGAGAGAAAAACAATTTTTCAAGCAAGAAAATGGGAACATTCTCAACAACTGTTCTATATTTTATTTTTTAAAGATTCTATTTTATTTACTTTGACAGTGAGAGACAGCAAGAGAGGGAACACAAGCAGGGGCAGTGAGAGAGGGAGAAGCAGGCTTCCTGCTGAGCAGGGAACCCAATGTGGGGTTCTATCCCAGGACCCTGGGATCATGACCCGAGCCGAAGACAGACGCTTAACGAGTGAGCCACCCAGTCACCCCTATTTTATTTTTGAATTTAACATTTCAGCTGAAATGGTGCTGTTGTCTCTTGAGTCTCAGTTTGTGTTTATTTTTTTTAGCACAGTGGGAATATTGATAAACGACTGCTGTAATTCAGATACTGTGCTGTGTACTGGAATGCCATGATAGAAAAATCATAGTTCCTGCCCTTAAGGTGCTCACAGTTCAGTGCAAGATGTGTCAGTCGATCATGGTCATGGATTGTGGTAAGGGCTCTGAGAGGTTTGCATAGTGTATTTTGGAAGCTCAGAGAAGGGGCCGGCAACTTGGGGCAGGTCTCCAAGGTGGAATTCCTAAAGGATCTAGTAGGAATTTATAAGTTGAAAGATGGGAAAATGTTATTCTAGGCAGAGGGAACAGTATATGCAAAGGAAGGGGCATAATATTCTTACAAAGTGTAATTGGTCATGCCCCGGACACCTGAAAGTTGTAAATATTCAAAACAGCTAGGAAATACCTGGGCCCTGGGTCTCTTCCTAGTTGTTATACTTCATAACTGGGGAGTTGCACAATTCCTAGGGGCATTGTTCACAATGTAGTCTATGTAAGGTAGCCTCCTCAAAAGCAAAATGTAGACTGTGTTTTGAATTGAGACTTCTGGAGGTATGCAAGCCGATAACCTAGCTGTGTGCTAATTTTTTTTTTACCCAAAAGTTTGAGAATTTCACTTTTCTTCTTTGGAGAACCTGTGAGATTTACATACCACCTTAAGATCTTTTGTTGTTTAAAAAATGCTTGTTTTCAGCTTTGCATCTTTTTCTAGTTCTTTTTTAAGTGTCATCAAATTAGAGATGTCACAAGGCCGACAGGGGTTTCAGAATAGGTTTTGTTATCTAAAAAAATTCCAGAAGCTGTGTTCTTGCCTCACTCTTCATAAATCTATTATGATTTTGCTTCAGAGTATCAGAGATCCCTAAAGAAAGGAAATATTTGTATATTGTTATACCTTTAATATTAGAATATCTGTTTTATGGTGGGTTGGACTAAGGGAAGAAAGGGAGGATGCAGCTAATATTTAGAAAGCACTAGATCTAGGTACCAGGGATCACGTTAAATGAAGTTTATATGAAGTATTTCACTTAATTCTCACAGCAAACGTGTGAGGAATGTGCAACTAGTATTTTACCTTTTTTTATAGAGCAGGGAAAAGGCTTGAAGAGATGAACTTGCCCAAGATGCTATAGCTAGTTGGTATGGTGGAGTGGAATGGAATGGGAGTCAGTCTTGATTCCAGAAGCTAAACTATTCTATACTATATTGCACCTCTATATCTGATCTAGGCTCTTTAGCTTATATTTTATTTAATAAAATAGATATTTTAACTATTTGTCGGATTTTGTGAAGTATGAAGAGGAGGGCATACATGCTAATAAATCATATGGATAAGAAATAAAACAAATTTCCTTCTTTTCTCTTTAATTATTTTTTTATCTTTTAATATTGGGGATCAGATTCCAGTCCTGTTCGAAATTTGCAATCTTTTGGCACTGAGGAGCCTGCTTATTCTACCAGAAGAGTGACCCGTAGTCAGCAGCAGCCTACCCCAGTGACTCCAAAAAAATACCCCCTTCGGCAGACTCGTTCGTCTGGCTCAGAAACTGAGCAAGTGGTTGACTTTTCAGATAGAGGTGAGTGAGTTTTGGGATCATTTGGTCAATTACAGAGAGGATCTGGTCAATTTCCTCTTAAGGAAGGCTTGGGCCCACTGCAGATAAATGCCCAATACTGACAAAATTCAGCTAGGTAAATGCTGTTTGTCTGATTCCTTTCTTGAATGGCTTGCTGAGCAGTTTTGTACTGGAGTACTCTTAAAGTCTAGAGTAACAAGTATATTAGATTGAACCCATAATAGGCAAAAGGGACTGGAGCCCTTTTACCCATAGATGAAGAAGGCTTGAACCAGATTTTCCTATAGTTAACGCTTTTCAGTCCACTTACCTCTGAATTTCTGAGGAGGAGTGACCTTTGGTAATGGGCGTGGTGAGCTGTTGAGATTGTGATTGACCAGCCCAAATCAGATGCCTTAGAGCACAGGTTGCAGACTGGGGAGCATCTAGCCTGCCAACATGCTCTGTTGGTTTGCTTGCACATATTTACCCTTTTTTAAAAAAATTAAAAAAAAATTTTTTAAGATTTATTTACTTATTTCATGGGGGGGGTAGCAGAGGGGGAGGGAGAGGGACAAGCAGATTCATGGGGCTCGATCTCAGGACTCCTGAGATCACAACCTGAGCTTGAAACCAAGGGTTGGACGCTTAACCGACTGTGCCCCTCAGGTACCCCAGTGTTTACATTTTTATTTTTTATTTTATTTTATTTTTTGTTAAAGATTTTATTTATTTATTTGACAGAGAGAGAGACAGCGAGAGAGGGAACACAAGCAGGGGGAGTGGGGGAGGGAGAAGCAGGCTTCCCGCTGAGCAGGGAGCCCAATGTGGGGCTTGATCCAGGACCCTGGGACCATGACCCGAGCTGAAGGCAGACACTTAACAACTGAGCCACCCAGGTGCCCCAGTGTTTATTTACATTTTTAAAAGTTTGTTGCCAGCATTTGAAAATACAGAATTTGATAAAAAAACAAAAACAAAAACCTGGGTTACTAGTTTCTTTTAAAAACTGGAAAGCTCTGGGAACATGAGGTGACCATTCACTCACAGTATTGATTGGAACGGAATAGCAGTTGTCTTCTTGAGGTGGACAGTTGCTCTTGATTTGGCCTTGCTCAGCCCTTTTAGGCATTTAGCTTACAGCCCATGATTTACAGTCTGGATTGTTAGATTACTAACAAGCTAGCTTGAGAGTCAAGTTCATTCACACTCTCACACCAAGTCTGTCATCCAGAAGGACACCCATTTTCATTTCCATCCTGTGTGTCTCCTGGAAGGAGAGCTGGATGGTCGTTTTATTTTACTTTATTTTCAAAGAATTTATTTATTTATTTGAGGGGGGGAGAGAGAGACCACACAAGTGGGGGGAGGGGCAGAGAGAGAGGGAAAAGCAGACTTCCCAATGAACAGGGAGCCCAATGTGGGGCTCAATCCCAGGACCCTGGGATCATGACCTGAGCCAAAGGCAGACACTTAACCAATTGAGCCACCCAGGCACCCCATGGATGGTCATTTTAAAGAAAAATTTACTTCCGTCCAGTTTTGATTACCCATGATGGGGGCCTTATGAGAAACACAGATAAGTGAAATGTATTAGGGTAAACCCGAAACTGAATTTTACTTAGAATGTAAAGTTGCACAAAGGAATGATGTTAGTTTCTCTTCATTTTCCTTATAGCTTTATAGCAGATAAGTGGTTAAAAGTCACTAGTTAAATGATAGAGGATCTGGGAAGCCCATAAACTCTTCTGAATAGTAAAACTCTAAATAAATGAACCCCATTCATGAGCTCTACCAATTGCTTTTGCTTTAGAAACTAAAAATACAGCTGATCATGATGAGTCTCCACCTCGAACTCCAACTGGAAATGCCCCTTCTTCTGAGTCTGACATAGACATCTCCAGCCCCAACGTGTCTCATGATGAGAGCATTGCCAAGGACATGTCCCTGAAGGACTCGGGCAGTGATCTCTCTCATCGCCCCAAGCGCCGTCGCTTCCATGAAAGCTACAATTTCAATATGAAATGTCCTACTCCAGGCTGTAACTCTCTAGGTGAGTGTGACCGGCTCCATGACACCTGTGTTCTGTGGTTCTCACCCTCTGGAATTAGGATCATGAAGAAATGTTTTGTGTTCTCTTGTGATCTGGCTTCTTAGGTTCTTCAGTGGTGCTCAGAGTATCACCAAGTTGCCCACTCAAGTAGAGAGTATTTTTTTTCTTGGCCTGTTGTCCATAATAATAGATCTGGTTGCAAGGACATTAAATGTGATGCACTGATCAGTTTATTGAGAGCTTCTCCCTGCGAAAAATTTCCTCCTTTTTCCTTCAGAAACAAAACAAAAGACCAGTTACCTCCAAATGGCTCATTGTAAGGTGCATAGTTGGAACTTAATGAGGAGTGTATGCTAATGCAGAATACTGGTTGTATGGCCAGAGCTGTTAAGGAAATGAGAAAAACAAGATTTCTTATCGCACGGCTGTGAAACTAAAAGGGCACAAATGAGATGCTGGACTTCTGTGACTTCAGTGGTTTTAGGTTTTGTGTACTTAATAAGTATAAACCAGACAAGTATTTCTTCTCAGATAAATGAATATCTCAGTGTTTTCTTATGACCTTTAGCCCTTACTTGACAGATTATTATAATGGTTTAAACCTTATGAATGCTCCTTAAGGCGAGCTTCAGTGCAAATGTTGCGCTTAAGCTTTTGTTTAGAGTTGGAAGGCGCTGATTGAGATTACAGGCTTTTTCTCCACTGGGTCTACTTCTCAAATTTGTAAACTTTTCAACGTGGCCATCAGGTTCAGAAAATATGTTCAGCAAAATAACATCATTAATTTTTTTTTTTTAATAATTTTGGTATAAAAGTATTCTGTGCTCGTGAAAACTTAAAACCCTATAAGAGCCTTGAAATGCATAAGTAAAAGTTTTCCTTCACTCATATCCCTGGGTATAAAACTATTCTTGGGTAGTTTTTTAATGGATGATTCTAGTAAGTTTGTATGTACATGCGCACACACACACGTGTATATACATATATTTCTATTTTGTTATTCACAAAAGGGAAAATATAATAGTTTGGCATCTTGGATATTTTACATTACTTAGGGTTCCATCTGTTTAAAGAACATAGAAAATTCCATTATATTGATAGTTTATAAATTTTTTAAATTGTCCAGTATGGATTGACCTTTAGATTATTTCTCATTTTATTTATTTTGAATTATACTATAGTGGATAGCCTTGTATATATGTATTTTAGTATCTTCCTAGAAAACCTGTAGGACTAAATTTATAGCAGTAGAATTGCTAGATCAATAGACTAGCCATCCTTTTTAACACTTTTGATATAGACGCATTAGATTGGTCTTAGTTTATATGTTCTAGAGTAAGACATGACTTGAATAATTTACCCAGAAGTTATAGATGCATAATATTTTAGAAAGAAATATTTATAGAAGTATTTCTAAGAAATACTAAGAAGGCTTTCTGTAGTATTGATGCTTTACATTTTATATATGGTGTTTGATCACTGAAGGTAGTTTTTTCTGTGCAAGATAAATTGAATGGATCTCTAAAATCATATTTTTAATAATACAGTCCTGGAGAAATGGCAGCCTGCATATCATATATTAATTCCTCTCTCCCCCCAGTACTTGGATTAATTTCATCCCTTAAAGCTTACTCCATAAATCCTGTATGATTTTTTAAATGGCAATGTCTCCATTACCTAAAGGTCTTGTAAACCTTTTGGTTAAAGAGATGTATAAAAAGGAAGTAACATTCAGTTCCCTGTGTGTTTCCCAAAACCACGTGAAAAACAGAAAAGTGAAAAGTACCCCTTTAGATAAAATGAGCTTTCAGTATTGTTATTTACTAACATTGTACCCTCGTAAGAGTGCCTTGTGCTGACTTCCTATATATTTTATTACAGTGTTAGATTAGTTTCAGGTGTACAATATAGTGATTCGGCAGTTCCATACATTACCTAGTGCTCATCAGGATAAGTGTACTCTTGATCCCCTTTATCTATTTCACCCCTTTCTCCCTTCCCCTCTTTGGCATCCACCAGTTTGTTCTCTTTATTTAAGAGTCTGGTTTTTTTTTCCTTTGCTTTTGTTTCTTACATTCCACATATGAGTGAAATCATACGGTATTTGTCTTTCTCTGACTGACTTATTTCACTTAGCATAATACCCTCTAGGTCCATCCACATCATAAATGGCAAGATCTCATTCTTTTTTATGGCCGAGTGATATTCCATTGTATATATATATATAGAACACATCTTTATCCATTTGTTTTTAGATAGACATTTGAGTTGCTTTTATATCTCGGCTATTGTAAATACTAACTGCCTATTTAAAAGTCTGATTACAGAAGAAGCCTAAATTTTATTTTATTTTATTTTTTTTAAAGATTTTATTTATTTATTTGAGAGAGAAAGAATGAGAGAGAGCATGAGAGGTAGGAGGGTCAGAGGGAGAAGCAGACTCCCTGCTGAGCAGGGAGCCCGATGCAGGACTCAATCCCAGGACTCCATCCCAGGACTCCAGGATCATGACCTGAGCCGAAGGCAGTCACTTAACCAACTGAGCCACTCAGGCACCCAAGAAGCCTAAATTTTAAACAAAATCAGCCCCCCTCCAAAAAAATGAATATATTTAATCTGGTTCAAAATTATCAAAATACGCTTATTTGTAGATTTGAAGAGTCCAATTTCTTTATTTTCCATAAGTTTCTTTTGATTATTGAAGAAAGCTCAATTCAGATTGGGTAGCATTGCATAATAGAAAGGAAGGAGCACTTAATATACATATAACTTGAAAATTTAGCATAGGAAAATTAAATTTCACTGGAAGAAAATGTTCATTTGTTTTGTTCCTTTATTATAAATGTATGGCTTATGATTTTTTGGGAATTTGAGAACTATATTATCAGAAGAACAGAAGGAACTACAGTTGATATTGAACATATACAAGTATGTTCAAAGATTGCCAGATCCATCCTGTGGAAGAAAAGAATTTATTGTGGGTACAAGTTATGGCCCTGACATCACTTACCTTTGGTGGATTCAATCTCTGATCAGATATATATTCCATAAAAATGATACAGCAAAATAACACGGTTGACATACAGAAAACTATCATTTTATGAGCTTAAATCTTTTATCTTGAGATTAAGTTTTTACCTCTTTTAACAGGACATCTTACAGGAAAACACGAGAGACATTTCTCCATCTCAGGATGCCCGCTCTATCATAACCTTTCAGCTGATGAATGCAAGGTAATTGTATTCATTACTTGATGTATACTTACCAAGTGAGCGCTTACTTAAGGTTTGCCAGGCACTTTGCTAAACACTGGGGATCCAGTGTGAACAAAATAGGCAAGGTCCTTTTTCTTACATTCTGGTGGAGGAAACAATAAAAATACAGTTGTTTTTTAAAAAAATAGTTAAACAGGTAAAAGAATTCTAGTAGGTAATGAATGCTTTGAAGGAAATTAATAGGGAGATTATGTATGGAATATTTGGAATATCATTGACTTCAATGACTGCCAGGGACCTTTTCCATTAGGAAATAATTCGCATAAATATGTGATCTCAGTAGTTATGCATTAGGTTCTCTTCTCACAAATCTGTGAAGACATTTTGCTCTTTAAATTTTTTCATAATTATTTTCCTTTTTCTCTGTTTCCGTGGAATAGTTTTTGTTTTTGTTACTGTCAGTCACACCTACTCTTGGCTAATTCTTGTTTTAAATTCTTGAGAAATATAGTCCTAAATAACCCTTGGGATCTGGGGGTAATGGATTTGGGAGAGCCTAAGATCCTATGTTATATGTTTCTGTGTGGGTTGCTTCTACCAAGGATGGAACTAATAATGGGGAAGCAAGAGTTGAAACATGCTTAATTAAATGGGTTGCGTGGGTAGTATTTGGACAGGTCATCCAAGCTCATTAGATCAAAGTATTAACTGTTGTTCTTGTGGCTGTTATTTTCTGACAATGCCGAGGTCACAGATTTATTCCCGTCTGAGCCAATTTCATCCTATGAAAAATTAGAATCCCTAGCCAACATTAGTTCTTTCTGATTCAGGAATTTGGTCTCTTATTCACAACTAGACCACACCATAGGAAATTTCTCTATGTGTTTAGTCTTTCATCAAAGTAGTATACTTTGAATGCTTACATGGATTTTAAGGTTGAAGACACTCTTATTTTTCTTCATTCCAAATTTTCTTGTATAAGGAAGGTCATTTCTTCTGCTCCTCCACGTAAGAGCGAGTGGTAGGTCTTCCCATTATCTTGCCATTCGCCTGAGACCAGATCAAAACAGGAAGAGCTTGGCCAACATCTGCATCAGATCACGGACAAGGCACTAGATATTTCTTTCTCTGAAAAGAACCGTGATCTCTTTTTTTTTGAGAGTTGTCCTCTGCATCTTGTCTTTAAATATCACGATCTGATACTGTGGACGGTTTCACAATTGAAGTCTTTCTGAGGTACAACTTGTTAAATTGTTGGCTTGTGGCAGTGTGAATAAGTGAAGCAATTTATTTTTAAAAAAGAAAAAGGGGACGCCTGGGGGTGGCTCAGTCGGTTAAGCGCCTGCCTTCCGTTCAGGTCATGATCCCGGGGTCCTGGGATCGAGTTCCGTATCGGGCTCCTTGCTCAGCGGGGAGCCTGCTTCTCGCTCTGCCTGCCACTCTCCCCACTTGTGCTCTCTCCCTCTCTCTCTCTGACATAGAAATAAATAAAATCTTAAAAAAAAAAAAAAAAAGAAAAGAAAAGAAAAAGAATTCAGTTTGGGGAAGAAAATTCTGGAAAAAAGGAAAGCATTTCCTGAATCTTTCCTCTCTTGTGCTTTCTTCTTCGCAAGAGAAATGAGGCTCCACATAATCCATCTCTACTACTGGAACTTAGAGGATCCGGGGAATTTCTGAAAGATACATGTTTTTATTAATTTAGAATCCCAAATGGAAAAATTAGACTAATTCCTGGCATTTATTGAAAGCTCTGTCATTTTTAACATACTTGCATATACATGATTACTCTTGAGTTTCCTGGTAAGCGTTTGCAATCAAGGATATTGCCATTTTTATTTGGTTACAGAATGTCATGACTGCATACATCCAGGTACCTGGGGGTTCTCTGAATGAGATAAAAAGACTGCATTCAGTGAGCTAACTTTCTCATGGGGGGAGGCAAAACGCATACAGATGAGTAAGTAGAGAAGAATTTCACGCAGTGATAAATGCTGTGAGGAACAAAAAAAACTAAAGATACAGAATGGCTGTTTTGGGGGTGATGGCTGTTTTGGGGGTGATGGATGTTTTGGGGGTGATGGGTACGGCACTGCTTTTGCTCAGGTCGTTAAGGAAGACCTTCCAGAGGAGTTGGCATTTGACTTGAGTCATGGCTGAGGGCAAAGAGACAATTGTGTCCAGATCTAGGAGAAGAGATGTAGATGGAAAGCTGAGCAAGCACAAAGGCTGTGAGGTGGGGATCAACTGCTGGGTTGGAGGGGCCAGAAGTAGGCCAGTGTGGCTGGAGCATGATCGGAAATGAGGAAGGAGGATCCAGATCCTGAACGACCCGTAGGCCTTAGCACAAGGAGTGTGTCTTTATTGTGACGACGGTGGGAAGCACTTGGAGGGCTGTAACAGAGGTCTAATATAATTTCATAAACGCTTTTTAAAAATCACAGCTTGTCGTGTGTGGAGAATGGACTGGTCGGGGCGGGAGTTGATGCAGGTCGACTGCCGAAGCTCAGGCAGTAGCTGGTGGCCCGGGCTAGTGCTGTATCTGTGGAGATAGTAAGAACTGATCGGGTTCAGGATATATTTTGGAAGGGAGTAGCCTGATAGACTTGCTGATGGATGTGATGTGAGAAAGAGAAGCAGCAAGGACGACCTTCAAGTTTTTGACCTGATGAGTTGGTTAGAAAGTGTTGCTATCTGTCGATAGAAGGAATGGTGGGAGGAGCAGATTTGTGGGAAAATATCAGTCGTCCTGTTTGACCGTGCTGAGTTTTGTTGTGAAGTGGAACAGGAGGTTGCATATGAGCCCTCACTTCCAGAAGGTGAAGCGGAAACTGTTGGAGAGCTGATGTGATTTGTCTTAAGATCACATAACTGCAGAGTTCAGTTTCCCCGTAGACTTGATCTCCAGCTATCCAGGCTTTTCTTTTGCACCTCTTCACCCTGTTCTTGCACTTCCTCACGGTTTCTTGTTTCTTACCCATTGTGCATTGCAAAGGGTCCAGGCTCAGAGTTATCAGACTTCATTAAAATCTTCGCCTTACCACCATGGAGCTGTGATGATTTCGCTTCTCTGATTCTCAGTTAATGGCTGAGAAAGCAGACCGTGAGGCCTGCCTTACCTGTTCTTGTAGAGATTTGTGATAATAAACACGAAGATCCTTTGAAAGTAAAAGCGCAACATAAATTCAAGGGATTACCATTGTATTCTTATGCTTTTAAGTAAATTTAGTCTTAGAAGCAGGAGGATTTATTGACGTTGTTGATGGTTGCAGGTGAGAGCACAGAGCCGGGATAAGCAGATAGAAGAGAGGATGCTGTCCCACAGGCAAGATGACAACAACAGGCATGCAACCAGGCACCAGGTACGGGCCTTGTTCAAGCTCCGGCCGCTCACAGCCTGAGAGCCAAGTCTTGGATCTCCTCTGCCCGGGATCGGGTGTTAGGTCTCTCTCTGTCTTTTGTTCCCGTGGTATTTCTAAGTAACTCGTCTTAAGTCGTCTTTACTTGTACACTCAGAAGCATATTTGCTTTCCAGAGAGTAAAATTTCATGAAACAAGCACTTCTGCCTCATAAATGAAGGAATCATGTTGTTTATGAAAATAATAGTTATCACACATAATCCTGATTATTTCAGAGATTACACTTGCTGCTCCATGCCCTCATGTCGCATCTCCATTTTAACCCTTTGTTACTTTCAAACCCCCTCACTGTGCTGGCATGTTTCCAAGGTCACCAGTGACTTGTGCTTATTAGCATTTGACACTTGTGGATGGTGTCATTTTCCTTCTACTTCTCTCTTGCCTTGGATTCCAAGATGCTGCTTTGCCCTAATCTTTCTGATTCTCTGAATATTCCTGCTTATTGATGACGCTTAATTCCTGTTCCTCCATGAATGCCTTTGGTCTTTGCTCTTGCTGTTTTTCTGGCTAACTCTGTGCCAAGAGATTGTGTTTATCCTTCAAGGCCTTGAACACTTCTCAGCTGTTGTAGGAATTCTTCCCAGACCTCCTACCATTGAGGAATTTCTTCCTTAGGTATTCTGTTGTAGTGTTCTCAGAATGCTGGTTTAGCCCTTGTCACGTATATATACACACCTCATCATACGGATGTCTGTTTTTGTGGTTAGATTATAGATGGGTAGCAGAGGAAGCCTGGTGAGGAGGAAAAAGTTTGGGTTTGGAGCCAAACAGATCTGGATTTGAATACTGTGATTCTGTGACGCTAGCTGTGTGGTCTTAGGCAGGTCCCTAAATTTTATTTCCTTGTTAATAACAAGGAGTGAATAATACCTGCCTGGTAGGGTAGTCGGCTAACAAAATGCCCATCCCCGGTGCTTGGCAGGTAATAAGCATGCCATAAATGGTAGCTGCTCTTGTTTTCATTGTCTGTCTGGGGTTCTCAGCTTACTCAGTTTAAAAGTTTTATTCATTCTTGTATCAGTGCTTGGAAAACAGTAAACATTCAAGAAATGCTTATTGAATTGAAATACCTTTATTTTATTCCTGTTGCTCTGGTGGAGACATCCCTCCTTAATCTGTTTGATCCCATATTAACTGACAGTAACATAGCGGTCTGGGAACCCAGTTTGGAATTTTAAACTCGCCATAGTACTCTCAAGATGGCTGTCACGCATCTGGCATGTTTTTCTTCCCTGCCCAGGTTGTGTTTTGTTTTGTGTTGTTACTTTCATTTTGAAACTGAATGACATCATGCATTTTCTAGCTAGCTTCTCAGTGTCCCTCTTCTTGCCTTTTAGGCACCAACAGAGAGGCAGCTGCGGTATAAGGAAAAGGTGGCTGAACTCAGGAAGAAAAGGAATTCTGGGCTGAGCAAAGAGCAGAAAGAGAAATATATGGTGAGAAAAAGTTAAATAATTAACACGAATTCTTGTGATTGCGTTTGATTGCTTTTGGTTTCTAAGCCCTGCTTTTCACATTTGCCATTTGGTATTCTCAAGTAGAAGGGCCCTTCTCTGGCCCTTAAGAGTTTGCCATAATCCCCCTCAAACTGGGTTGTTAAGAGTGGAAACCAGGAGGCTTCGAAAAACAAAATACAATTAGGATTTAGATGAAAAAAAATTCACTCCTGTGGTTGTTTGTAAACCTCACTTTAGTTGTAAAGGGTTAAATTTAGTCACTCGAACAGGATGTTGGAGATGCCTGTATAAAGGAAAGTATTCAAACTAAGTGGTGATCTGTGTATTTTAATGGGAAAACAAAATTCCTGAATGATAAAAAGTATTAATTGGGTGATATATTCTATAAGAAGATTTTTTGGGTAGTATTTTAACTTTTTTTCTACTTTTAAAAATAACGCACATTTGTTTTTGTTTTTGTTTTGTTTTTCAAGATTTTATTTGAGAGAGAGCATGAGCTAGGGGAGTGGGAGAGGGAGAAGCAGACCACCCCCCCTCATCCCCACCGCTGAGCAGGGAGCCCAATGATGCTGGGCTCTCTCCCAGGACCTGAGCCAAAGTCAGATGCTTAACTGACTAAGCCACCCAGGTGCCCCAAAAGTAATGCACATTTGTGGTAGGAAATACAGAACACATAAGAAAAGTATACAGAAATAAACATCAATCCTACTACCTAAAAAGTAGCCATGTTAGCATTTGGGGATATTTCTTCTTAGCCTTTTACATAATGCCTTATTTATGTAACTTGGATTTTACTGTAAGTACAGCTTTGGATTCTGTGTTTTCACTTAAATAACATGAACTATAATTTCCTCATTTCATAAAAAATTCTTCAAAAAATTTTTTGCATAAAATTTAACTTAAGATTTATTGTAAACATGATTTATAAGTATATGTGACTGATATTTATAAATGTGTTAAATGCTTCCTATTGAAAATACCGAAAATATTAGAGAAGAAAAATTCCAATAAAAATCACCCTCTGAGATAGGAACCCCCTCCTCCCAGTGCGTGTTTTGCTATGCGATCTCTCGGTCTTTTTCTTTCTTTCTTTTTTTTTTTTAGTATTTATTTATTTGATAGCGGGAGACACAGCGAGAGAGGGAACACAAGCAGGGGAAGTGGGAGAGGGAGAAGCAGGCTTCCTGCTGAGCAGGGAGCCTGATGCGGGGCTCGATCCCAGCACCCTGGGATCATGACCCGGGCTGAAGGCAGACGCTTAATGACTGAGTCACCCAGGCGCCCTCTCGGTCTTTGTCTGATGTGTATTTTTATTTTTTCATAGAGTTGGAATATTGGCTTATTTAGGCATTAGGTTATTTAATGTATGGCTTGTGGATACTTAGCACAGCTTCATTAAGGCAAAAATATGCCAAACCATGTATTTACTTTTTTGGTCATCCTCACTGCCTTGAAAATGATAATCTTTTTTTTAAATTTTTTTTTATTTTAAAGATTTTATTTATTTATTTGACAGAGAGAGAGATAGAGCAGGAACACAAGCGGGGGAGTGGGAGAGGGAGAAACAGGCTTCCCATGGAGCAGGGAGCCCGATGTGGGGCTCGATCCCAGGACCTTGGGATCATGACCTGGGATCCTGACCTGAGCCGAAGGCAGATGCTTAACGACTGAGCCACCCAGGTGCCCCTGAAAATGATAATCTTATGAATGAGATGGATATGGGCCAGCAGGAAACGGGTAGTGGGCGAATTTGTAGCTGAATTCCTACACCAGACTGTGGGGTTACTAGAGGGGAGGGTTCTGGTAGTGGGCTGTCAGGTGCAAAGTTGTATGCTTCCCTCTGCCTTGTTCAGTGTTTTTATCTACAAACTGGGTAGACGTGGAATGAGTAACATGATAATAGCATTTATTGAGTGCTTATGTGCTTAGGCACTAGGCATGGTTATGTTGTTCCCACCATCTTTATGACAACTCTTTGTGATGGATGGTCTATTACCTGTTTCATAGATAAGAAAACAGAGGTTTTGAGAAGTAATTTGCCCAGAAATCATATGGGGGTAGAAAGAATGTCTGAAGTAAAAGCTGCTGAAATTTAGTTTATAAACATCTGCTTTCCAAAATTTGAGCTAGGTTATTTGGATCCAACTTTGCTGTTAAAAATGCTGGATAGGATATTTTTTTTAAGCTTAAAAAAATGTTTATGAAACTAGAAGAAATAACTTAATATTTAGAATCTGAATCTTAGATGACAGAGTCCAAATGCAAAAGATACCGGTCAGATGGGCCCAGAGGAACCTGAAGAAATTGTAATAGGGGTCAAGGTATTGGTGAATAGTTTTTTCATATGCTAATATATATGTGAATTCTATAATGTTCTCCCTGGGATGAGCCATCCACTCCACTTAACAACCATTATCTTCTATTCTATGGGTGGGAGGTGGAGTCTAGGGCAGAGTGGGAAGGGCTAGAATCAGAGGTTTAAAAAGGGAAGTGCTTCCTTTGTGGCCTTTCTTTCCGGTGCCAGGGTACTTGTCATGACTGCCATGGTGAGATTTAATACTTATTGAGAACTGGCTTATTTTTATGCTGCTGATTTTCTATGAGTATTGTCTCTTTCTTCTTGCTTAATATTTAGTACAGTGGTTTTTAAAGGGGCCAGCCTGTGTTTCCCATGCACTGGGGCTGGAGATCTCAGGCGAGACTTTCAGGCCTTGGGTGGACAGTGTCTTGGGCCCAGCGACTGCAGGGATAGAATTTAGCAAGGACCACTTAGTGCAGATACCCCTTCTTCATTGCAGCTTTTCCTTTCAGTCTAAAATCTCAGACTCTAAGTCTCAGAGATTTTGTGCTATTTGTTTTGCTTTGCTTTGAAATATGGGAGTATCCACCAAGGTTCCTTCCAGGTCTCAAGATTCTAGGAATTTGTAGTGCGTTTGGGTTTGTTATATTTTATTTATTTGTATTGTCATGCACATTTTCAGATGAAGAAATGGAGGCATAGAATTCTGACCCTCGAGGTGCTCATTTAGAGAGAGAAGAATGAAACTCCCTTTTGAAGGTGTAGGAGCATTTTCTTTACAGATTCACTAGGGTGGATAATGGTTGTTTTTGGCATTAACCTGGTAATAGTGTGTCTTATGCTCAGTCCCCAGTGCCTAGTATAATGCCTGGCATACAGTAGGCACTAAATAAATAGCTTCTAGTTGTGCTTGGCCCTCTGGTTGGCATTGACTGAAATGAAATAGATGAAGTTCTTAGAAGCAGAAAGAATCACGCTCTGGTTATTTTCCTAGGAACATAGACAGACCTATGGGAACACTCGGGAACCTCTCTTGGAAAACCTGACTAGCGAGTATGACTTGGATCTTTTCCGAAGAGCACAAGCCCGGGCTTCAGAGGATTTGGTGAGTATTAAAACCTTCAAGCTTGTGGACCACTTGTGAAGGGCTTGTACAATTGCCAAGAAAAGTGATCAGCAATCAGTTGATGGGAAATAAATGTCCTTTGGTCCTTTGCTGCATGAATCTCTTTCCCCTCCCCCAGCTATCCTTTTCAGGATGATCCTACTTCCCATTCATATTTAAAATTAATTTCCCCTCCTCCCTTCCTTTGCCTTGACCGTTTTTCCCTCTCCACCTCACCTCCCAGAAGGACCTGTTTGGTGGGAGTGTTGAAGCCGGTTTAGACAGTAGGTGCCCCTTGGTCTCAATTGGGCAATATGCAATTCTGAGAGCCTCTAGATTGGTGGCTAAGCCTCTCTTGTTCTCATAACACCACCACCCCCCCCCCGCCCAGGAACTAGCCTTTGCAGGGTTTCCTCAGCCCTCCAGTCTAGCTCTAAAAGAATTAAGAGAACAGTGAAGAAGAATAATGGAAAAGGCTGTGGTTGGTTGTTTTATAAAGGAAATTAATGTTTGACCAGCCACGTTTTATCTATGAAGCTGGTTTTCTGTTCTGGTTTTTATTTACGGTTAGTCTGACTTAGTTTTCGTACCCTAGGCAGAATTTTCAACAAGGTTGCTTTAAAAAAATTGTGGTACCTCTGATTTAACAGATTAAATGTGTTGAGGGAAATTTAGCTTGTAGAGTGATTATCCTCTTTACCCTTTTTTTTTTTTTTTTTTAATTATATTAAACACTTCATTCACAAATCCTCGACTTGTTGGAAACTTGGAGGAGGCAGGGTTTGGTAGCTGCTTTCTCCTGCTCTGGAGCAGAGCATTTCCTATCACAGCTCTCCACCTGGTTAGGCTTAAAAATTCTTCCTGTAGGGCGCCTGGGTGGCTCAGTTGTGTTAAGCTACTGCCTTCGGCTCGGGTCATGATCCTGGGGTTCCGGGATTGAGTCCTGCGTCGGGCTCCCTGCTTGGTGGGGAGTCTGCTTCTCCCTCTGACCCCACCGCCTCTTGTGCTCTCTCTCTCTCTCTCTCAAATAAATAAATAAAACTTTAAAAAAAAAAAATTTCTTCCTGTAGTCAGCTCCTAGCCACTGAGTAGAGATTGATACCCAAGAATACTTTCTACTTTATCTGGAGTTTAGATTACAGTATTAAAGCATTGTCCATGTTCCAAAAATATTTTTTCAGGGACCTGCGTTGAGAGGATGGCCCCATATACTTGTGGATTTATGTCACACAGATCCATACAGTTTTAGAAGTAGTAAAGCACATTCTAGATAATCTTTTCTGTTTGGTTTTAGAATGTTTTATAAGGGTGGGGCATTTGTATTTGTGATAGATTGCCTTTATAAAACAGTTTGGTGGGGCGCCTGGTGGCTCAGTCGTTAAGCGTCTGCCTCCGGCTCAGGTCATGATCCTAGGGTCCTGGGATCCAGCCTCGCATCGGGCTCCCTGCTCCGTGGGGAGCCTGCTTCTCCCTCTCCCACTCCCCCTGCTTGTGTTCCCTCTCTCGCTGTGTCTCTCTCTGTCAAATGAATAAGTAAAATCTTTAAAAAAAAAAAAAAAAAGAAGTTTGGTGTAGGCTGATTAAAAACAAAATTTTACCAAGGACTTGTTCTGAGGTTCTAGAGACGAGGCCCACACAGCATGGTAGGGAGCAGAGAAAAGCCACAGTCTGTTGAGACCTGTGTTTCCAGGCAGTGTAGATCGTGAGTTTTCTAGAAGCCATCTTGACTATCTGTGTCCAGGTAGGTACCCCTCTTTAGGGCAAGTTTCTCATGAGTTAGAAGGCAATTCTATTTTTTTTTTTTTTTAAAGATTTTATTTATTTATTTGACAGAGAGAGACACAGCGAGAGAGGGAACACAAGCAGGGGGAGTGGGAGAGGGAGAAGCAGGCTCCCCGCAGAGCAGGGAGCCCGATGTGGGACTCGATCCCAGGACCCTGGGATCATGACCTGAGCCGAAGGCAGTCGCTCAACCGACTGAGCCACCCAGGCGCCCGAAGGCAATTCTATTCCGAAGGCAATTCTATTTTTTCTCCTAGCCTAGCATGGTGGCATACAAACAAGCATACTAGAGGCTTTTTAAGAACAAAGATGATTGATTGTAATCCTCTTTCTGATTTCTTCTCTGCAATAGGAGAAGTTAAGGCTGCAAGGCCAAATCACAGAGGGGAGCAACATGATTAAAACAATTGCTTTTGGTCGTTATGAGCTTGATACTTGGTACCATTCTCCCTATCCCGAAGAATATGCACGCCTGGGACGTCTCTACATGTGCGAATTCTGTTTAAAGTACATGAAGAGCCAAACGATACTCCGCCGACACATGGTAAGCTGTCTGGGGTTCTCTGATCATGATGGTGATGAGCCAGAGGAGCTCTAGATGTTGACCTCTACCTGGATGACCTCCATCTCTAAGCCTTCCTCTCTCAGTGGTCCATAGTAATGGCACAAAGGCATTGGAAATGGAAAGCCACATTTCAGGGTGGGGAGGATTCAGCCTGTGGCCTGGCTGGTGCCATGTGGCACCCAAAGCAGCTGATGTCCCATAACCACATCCTGTCACACACATTGACTTGTCTTTTTTCTTGCTGCCTGCTCTTTGCCATTTCTCCTTGGGATAACAGTTACCTCTGCCCACAGTTTTTATGTGTCCCAAACTAGATAAAAGCAAGTAGACTTCATTAGATTGACTTCATTAGACAGGGCAAGGACAATGTGACGCACTTTGTATCCTTAGCAACCAGCGAGGGCAGGAAGTGCCCAGTAAATGTGTGTTGAATGAATGCGTATTTAAAGGAGACAACTTATGAAATTAACAAAATGGGTGCTTTGGTGCCTTCTCCCAAGTTTAGTGCTTTCTGGTTCCTGAACATTGTCCTTCCTATTCAAATAGGAAGAAAGATGTGACACTCATTTTATTGTTCATAAATATGCTCACTAGGTATTTTGTAGCTTTAAGTCATTTTTCATTTCCTAGCTGAAGAATGAAAAACTTGTCTTAAATAAGGGAATTTCTAGGAGCAGGGATGGGGAAGAGAGGAAGGAGCTTTTTGGGCAGGACACCTTCCTTTTCCTATTTCTGTCATCCCAGCGTAATTTGGCTCTAAGACCTTTTAGGGTGTCCCTCCTTCCATCCCCTTCCACCTTTATTTACCAGGTTTTCTGTATGCTGAACATCTACGGCCCAGGCTTTCCCAGAGTTCCTATCCTTCTACTCTTGTCCCCAGTTGGGTTGGGGAATAACTGCATTTTGTGTTCTCATCTCTGGAACCCATACTCTTGTAGTGTTGAGGCCCAGAACCGCCCCTGTGAATTCAGCCCTCCAGACTCCTGCACACTCGGCTTGACTCGGGGGGGAGAGCGACTGAGGGATGAAGGATCGGTGGGGCCGCTAGGCCACAGGGGTGAGGGTAGCAGAGGACTGGTCTCTGTGGTTGTGGACCATGGAAATAAACTAAAATCCGGTTTTCCTGTGTGAAAGTAAGGCTGGTATTTTTACTGATGTGAACTGCTTACTGTTTAGGTTTTACTTCTTCCTTTTTGTTTCTGGTTATTTAGTGGCATTAACCAATAAAATAGCCCGAAAGGGCAAGACACAATAGTAGGCGGGGAAAATAAACGGTTTGAATAAATCTGAGGGTCAAGTAAACGTTTTGAATATTTGAGGATCTGCATTACGGGAGGTACAAAAACTGATTTTCAGGAAATGAAAACCTGTGTTTTCGTCTACACTTCTGATTCCCATTGCTTCATGAGTAGTCGCTGAAATGGGCCACCTTTGGCCATTCGGCCAACAGTTGGGCTTGTTTCTAAACAATTGTTGTATTAGTTGGGTTATTGTGGGAAAGAGCCAGCATGAATAAACAGGTGGATATAGGAATAAGCCTAGGGGTGGAGCTTTCTTGAAGCAATTCCAGTTAGTATTTGGATTTACATGTGACAATTGGGGTGTGATTCTTGAGTTGACCAAAAGTCACAGTAAAACTTAGTAGAAAATGTTCCATATACATCTGCTTCCTAAATGATACTATTTAATGTATTTACATAAAACCTTGTAAGAATTCACGTATTTCCAGCAATGGCTGACTGGCTGCATTAAATCCTTTAGCAACTGAGGGTGAGGAAAGGGGTTCTTTGTGCCTCCTTGTGGCCAGATGCCCACCTATCCCTGCAGTTTCTTGCTTCTGAACCAGGCTGCCTTGCCTTTTTTTTTAAGCCACAGAAGGACTTGCTCATCTTCCTTATATAACAAAGGGAACGCTTTGGTAGGGGTTAGTCTTTATTGTCACGGGCCTGTTTTCTAATCTGGAGAAAAGACTAATGGTTATGTGGTAACAAAGTTTACGGGTGAAGGTGAACATCAAGTATTCCTACCTTTCCTTAGCAACTCTAAGCTGCTGGAAATAAGCTGCTTAAGAATTTCCTGTTGGCACAGGGTGTTTTAGAATCGAGGGTATTTTTTATTTATCTGGCTTTTACGTAGTAGATGATTTTAATCTCCTGGGTTGAAACAGGGCCAGAGTATGATCTAGAAAACTTGTCCTAAACTGCTATAAAAATACCATAAACACATTACTATTTGTTTTAGACTATGATTTTAGAAGCCGTTAATTGTTTTACTAAAAAAAAACCCCAAAAAACAAAAAAACAACTCTTGCCGTACATTCTCAAGTGTGTCCAGCTGTCTGTCACCTCCACTACCTAAATTTGACCTGTGATTCATTTTTCCTTTTGAGCAGCAGTCTTATTGGGGAAGGTTTGTTTCCCTGATACAAATTCCATTCTCTTGCAGGCTAAATGTGTGTGGAAACACCCACCTGGCGATGAGATCTATCGTAAAGGCTCCATCTCCGTGTTTGAAGTGGATGGCAAGAAAAACAAGGTAAGAAGGAGGTGTGGTGGTGGAGGGTGTATATTCACAGGTCTTGGAAGCAATTTATTCTGTCTCCATCTCCCCTTTGTAAAGAAGATAGGACTCTGCTGTGGACCAAAGCACACTTGCTGCCTCATCAACAATGATGATATGATCTTTAATTTTAGGCCTTTATCTGATAAATTTAAGAATCACTGGCCCATGCATGAATTCTGTCTCTGCTTCCAGATCTACTGCCAAAATCTGTGCCTGTTGGCCAAGCTTTTTCTGGACCATAAGACGTTATATTATGATGTGGAACCCTTCCTGTTTTATGTTATGACAGAAGCGGACAACACCGGCTGTCACCTGATTGGATATTTTTCCAAGGTCAGCAGGATCTGGAGATTAAGAAGCTACCTGCCCCAGCAGGGTGATTGATGTTGGCATTTGGGGACCCGGATCACTGACAGGAAGAGGCTGTACCCTGGGCAATGACAGCCCTTCCCTTAAGGGTTGGGGAGGAGGGTCGCAAAAATCCATGTATCAAAGATTGTTTAATGAAAGTTTGCAATTCTTTATTAAAAGCTTCTGGTTTATTCACTTCTGGACTTGTGGGTTAGAGCTACCTATTAATTAGCGTCCAAGGCCCTGCCTGCTAACCCTGAAGCCCACATTTTGTAGTCGAGCCAACGCTCCTAGCTTTGCCCTCTGTTATTAGCCTAAAACCAGGAATATATTCCTTTTGCCTGGTTTTCTAGCTGGGCTCATTCTGTGATAAGGCCACTGTGCCTTTGAAGGCTGAAGGCCAGGTTTTGCTTCTGACTTTTTATTAGGAACTTTATTGAAATCTAATTCACATGCCACACACTTGACTCATTTAAAGCGCATGACTCAGCGGTTTTGTACGGTCAGAGTGTAGTGCAGTAGTCACGCAGGCCCTCCGCTCCATTCTCCCTACCCCAGCAAGCACCCCCGGAGCAACACTGCCCATTTCCCCTCCACCAGTGTCAGCCCCATCTCTGTAAGTGTGCCTGTCCTGAGCGTTTTGTGTAAAGGGAACCGTACAGTATGTGATTTGATTGTTGACTCCCTTCCAGACTGGGGGCTTACTGTCGGGGATCCCTCTTTTCCAGTAGGCAGCCCCTTTTGATAGATTACATTTACAGAGGGTTGCCCTGACCAACTCAGCAGTCAGACCTTGCCCTGCTCTGTGACTAGAAGGAACTCAGTTAGCCCTCTTAAAATGAGACTGGTCTCTGAGCTAGGGAGAGCCTGGCATGGCTGGCTTCGGCCATCGTAGGAAACGGTGTGCACGGACCAGCTGTGAGCGTGACAGCCACTCCCTGGGACTGCTTAACCAGACCGTTTGCCAGCAGCCTTCTTTTGCGTTTGTGGGACTGCTGACACCTCGGGTTCCAAACCCTCCTGACGTGCTGTCATCTGTTTTGCTCTTGACTTTAGGAAAAGAATTCATTCCTCAACTACAACGTGTCGTGTATCCTCACCATGCCTCAGTACATGAGACAGGGCTATGGCAAGATGCTCATCGATTTCAGTAAGTGGGACTGCTCTGGCCTGGGCTCCGCGAGCTGCAGGGGCGACAGGAATGGTTGGGTCTCTGTAGTTCCCGGCGTGCAGCAGGTGAACGGCTATGTGGACAGAATCTGAATGTCCTTGGTCAGCCGGGTGTTACCTGGAATCTTCCGTGAATACAGGACTCAGTTGCTACCTGATAGTGGGGGAAATAGAGGATAGGAAAGAAAGCTCATGAGGATTATCCCCATTTGAGACTTAGGAACAGCACATACATGCATAAGGCTTCAAATCTATTCCTGGATTAGGGATTGGCAGTTTTGTAAGGACTTTTCTAGTGGCAATCCCTATACCTGATAGAGGCTTTGGGCTTCTTTAGTAGTGTATTCTGTATTTGGGAATTTGCCTCCTCGAATTTATTTGTAATCCCCAAATCAATACTCTTGTCACTTTTGCAGTCAGTTGTGGACATGCACACAGCAGCAAGAAGGAAGTCACCACATTTTCTCCGCTCTGGTCAAACAAGCAGGTGCCTTGTTTCGGCTCTCAGTGTAACCACATGTTTTTTTGCAGTCTGTTAGTGCCGTGCTTTTCATATTTTTGTGCATTTTGTTGCTGATTTTATTATTTTTAAGGATTTTATTTGAGAAACACAGCATGAGCAGGGCGGGCGGGGGGAAGTGGGAGGAGAAAGAGGGAGAAGGAGAAGAAGTAGGCTCCCCACTGAGCAGGGAGCTCGACGCTAGCCTGGATCCCACTGAGCTGAAGGTAGACAACTGACTGAGCCACCCAGGCACCCTTGTTGCTGATTTTAAATGGTCCCTAGGTGTAGCGCCGAAATGCCATCTACAAAGGCTGTGGGGTGTGTCTTACAGAGAAAATACCCGTATTAGGCTTCATTTAGGCATAGGTGATTGTACTGTTGGCCGGGAGTTCGATGCTAATGAGTCAACAATGTATATTTAAAAAGGCATTATTAAACAGAAACACAGAACAAGGTGACCATAACGATGGGTTGATGAAAATATGACCAGAGGCTTACAGAAACCTAACCCTGTTTCCCCTAGGAGCAGTGGTTCAGTGTTTGCTAATTTAGTGCTTGCCGTGACTTTGTAGAATGTAACTCCTATAAGTGATGAGAATCAACTGTATTTTGTTCAGTGTTCACTGTCCTATGAGATTTTAGTCAGAATTACAATTCTTAGAGTTAGCCTTCTAGCCCATCACTTCCCAGCTGTGGGAAGTGATGAAATCAGGAAGAGGCATAATCCATGGAGGAGGGGGCCCTATATCTTAGAACAGGTGACACCTATTTTATAAACTTGATTTTATGTAGATTTCTAAACATACATAACAAGTGTAGAATAGTTGGATAATAAAAGACCTTGTAACGTATGATTAGCGTTTCACGGCCAATCTTGTTTTACCTCCATTCTCAACCTCAATTACTTTCACATCTCTAAAAGATAAGCTCTATTTCACATTAAAAAAAATCCAAACCTCCCCAAATTCCTTAATAACCCTAAGTTATAGTATTCAAATTTCCCTGATTTTGTGATTTTTGTTCCTTTTAAAGAAAACACACATGTAATTATTTTACTTAGTTCCAAATAGAATTGATACATTGGGATTGATCAATGTGGCTTGTAAATCACTTTTAATCTGAAAGTTCCCACTCCGATCTCTTTCCTGTATTTCTTTCCTATTTATTTGTTGAAAGCATGTTAGTTTTCCACTAGCGTTTTGCGGAATGTGGATTTTGTGGACTGCATCCCCATAATATTTAACGTTAGTCGTTGAGATGTTAGAACCAGAGGCTTCAGGAGATTCAGTACTGAGATAATCTATTCTTAAAATCGAAAAATCTCAAAAAATATAAAAAGTGACATAATGAAATGGCTTCCCATCTCTGTTCCCAGCACACACCTACAGATTACCATTGTTATTAAAGTTTCTATCTTGTGAAACCTTCCAGAGTTTTCTTAACATCTGGTACAACTAAGTGCAAACACCCCATTCTTCCCCTTTGGCTTATCCCAAGGCAGCATGCTGTACAGCAGCCGCCCCGTATTGAATGTCCGACCCCTAGTTGGTACTGTGAAGCAGCCTGTCCTCAAGCCTTCCATGTTGACACAGTGGTGTTTGTGATTAGGATAAAATAGTGCCTGCATTTTGTTCCTCGGTAGGTTACTTACTTTCCAAAGTGGAAGAAAAAGTCGGTTCCCCGGAACGTCCCCTCTCCGACCTGGGGCTCATAAGCTATCGCAGTTACTGGAAAGAAGTGCTTCTCCGTTACCTGCATAATTTCCAAGGCAAAGAGATTTCTATCAAAGGTTGGTTTTTGGCTCTTTATGATAGTTGGTACCCAAGGTGTTAATGCCACTGAACATTCCAGCTTTTCTACTTGGCCCTGCTGTGCTTGGTAACCTGCAAAGAGAATATCCCTTCCGTGCTTCATCTGAATATGAGAACAGAAGGCCCACTGGATGCGGGCCACTGCAGAGACCCTCCGGAAAGTGCCTAAGGATTCCATAGCGTTTGGCCCTTTGGGAATGGCTATATGATTTTGGTTTTACAAACCTGGGGTGGTTAATACTTTAATTCTTTTTTTTTTTTTAAGATTTTATTTATTTATTTGACAGAGAGACAGTGAGAGAGGGAACACAAGCAGGGGGAGTGGGAGAGGGAGAAGCAGGCTTCCCACTGAGCAGAGAGCCCAATGCGGGGCTCGATCCCAGGACCCTGGGATCATGACCTGAGCGGAAGGCAGATGCTTAACGACTGAGCCACCCAGGCATCCCTAACACTTTAATTCTTAATGAAAGTCAAGAAGGAGGAAAAACGTGAATATTTTTTTTTCCAAGTCTTTTGGCAAACATAGGAGCTGATAAGACATGCCTGTATATTTATGTAAGGGTAGAAGAATTAGTCAAGTCTGTCTTTGACCTTGATTTCTATACAGGTCAGAGTGATTTCTTGCTGTAGTATTTCTCTTTTGTAGTTATTAGGACTGGTCAAATAAATGCTTGATAAGCTTTCTCTGAACAGGTTGGGTTAAGTATCAGATTTCAACCATCTGGGTTTCCTCTAAGCAAGGTGGGGGGCTTGGCTTGGTGGGGGTCGGTGAAGGTGGGGGTCTGCACTTTGGCCCGGTTCTCAGTAGCGCTTCTATTTCAGAAATTAGCCAGGAGACAGCTGTGAATCCTGTGGACATTGTCAGCACTCTGCAAGCCCTTCAGATGCTCAAGTACTGGAAAGGAAAACACCTAGTTTTAAAGAGACAGGTAAAGTTTTTGAAGTTTTTGTCAGCTGCTGGCTTAGTGCTAAATGTCTCTTGAGGCCTAGCAGAGCAAAATGGGGCCTTAATACCCGAAAAGCTGCCTTCTCTCCTTAAGGCAGTTTGCCTGCATGTACCTTTTTTTTTTTTTTTTTAAAGCGTGCAGTGATGCCTGTTAGGCTTCTTATCTTGTCCTTATCTGAAGCTTTTAGTAAGCTCCTGTCTCAAATTTGGATGACACAAGCAAAGGAGCTCAGTTAAGCAGCTTTGTGTCACACAGCACTTCTGATGATTTTCTTAGATTGGAGCAGAATCCTCATAAACTCCAGGGCTTGTGCACTTGTTTTCTTTTTTAAAGATATTTAAAAATATCTTTGTGGAAGTACACTTTAGAAAAAAAAAAAAGATCTATATCTGAGCATGGTGCCTGATGCTGGGTTTGATCTCACAACCCTGAGATCACCACCTGAGCCGAAACCAAGAGTCGGATGCCCAACCTACCAAGCTTCCCGGGTGCCCCTCATGCAAGTGCTTTTAAATTCTTTAAACAAATGGCATCTCAACTCATGCCCACTTTTAATTTGTTTTAGTTGATTCACGTATAAGGGAAGGTGAATGTTGAAGAATGATTTTAGTTCTTCCTGAGGACAGTTGGAAATGGTTTCTCTAGGAAAACATTTTCTAAATCAAAAGATAGTCTTTTATGCCTTTGGTGTATTATTACCATTAGTATATTAATAAAGACATTTTCGTTGAATGTAGAGTCATTTTTCCTATTGTTCTCCCGCAGGACCTGATTGACGAGTGGATAGCCAAAGAGGCCAAAAGATCCAACTCCAATAAAACCATGGATCCAAGCTGTTTAAAATGGACCCCTCCCAAGGGCACTTAAAGTGACCTGTTAACTCTGAGCCAGCGAACCCCAGCAGTAGGAATCCGTACCCTAGGGATCTGTCTGTCATTTCTGTTGCTCTTGTGATTGGCAAGTACAGTATCCTTTGGGAAGGCCATCCCCCTCAGGACTGTCCTGGCTCCGACCCTCGTGTTCACTGCAGACGCTGGTTCTGAGGAACTGTTGTTTCGGCCTCAGTGAGGTTGCCCGGATGGGATCTCTGTTAGACTTGAGAGCAGATCCCTTGTAGCACTGACCCAAGGTGTTCTGTTTGGTACTGTACCTGTCCAGTCACTGGTTCTCCTCATGTCCTCTAGCCCCATGAGGTTGTGTTGTGTCTTCTAAACTTTGTACTAGTGCTTCTTGCTGCCCGGTCACCAGACTTCCAAACCATGGTTTGCCACCACCAGGACCTTTCCAGTTACTCCTTACATGTGTTTTTTTTTGGAAGAGCAGGGAAGAGGTAACATTTCTGACTGTGTGTACTGGGAGGGGTCCATTCCCTTTGGATTTTATTTCACTTTGAGTTTTTCCGCCATTTTTATTGAAAGACCGGTTTTTGATCAGTGTCAAGCTGAGGAGAGACCAGTATTTTTTAAGACTCTCCCAGGGACTCGTCTTGGTAACTGCACATAATTTATCTGAATGAAATGGAGAGAATTGACAGGTGGTGATTCTGTACTTTGATTTGAGTTCACCAGTGGGCAGTGTGTTGGTGGAAGGAAACGAGTCCTTTTTGCCTCACCAGAAAGTGCCCAGCCCTAAGTGTTTTCCTCTCTTGTGACCCCCTGCCCCTTTTTACGTTTGCGGGGGCCAAACAATGTCCGGTGCTCCCTTTCATGCTGCATGCTAACCAGTTCGTAAGACTGCAGAGCCCTTTTCCCCGGTACCTGTCGCTCTGATCTGGCCCACCTGTACTTCTCTGCCTCAGTTGCATTGATTTTTGCCTGAACCACCACAGAGAAGTAGGAAATGATTGCACATCTCCTCTCAGCCCATGACTCAACAAGGCAGAGTGCGCCCCCCCCCCCCCCCCCCCCCAGCGTTTGCTTCTACAGTGCCTCACCCTCCCTTCCGGGACTGAAGTGCTCCTGCCCTTCCAAGAACTCCCATTTCCTTTTTGGGATTTGACACCCCCCCTCCCCCCGCCCCATTCTCTGCTCTCCTATTTTTGGTTTCAAGCAAAGGAAGAGCCGCTCCCTCTAATTTCTCTCCGGCCCATTATAACCCACTATCTTGGGGCAGCTTTGGATGTAGGACATGTGCTCCCCTTCCCAACTTGGTCTCCAACACTGCTGTCTTCGCGTGGAGCCCTTCCCACGGTCCCAACTCTGGTCATTTGTGCCTTTCTCTTGTCCTCTCTGTACACTACTTATACTCACTGTGGGTTGGGGGAGCCCCTTTTCAGCATGTCAGTGGCAGCTCCCCACCAGTTTCAGTGTCACTGTTAACGTTTATCCAAAAGCAACTTCACTGGGGGTTTTCTTAAGGGGTAAAGGTCTTTTACCGAAGCTAACCCTTCCCCACATGTGGTAGAATGTGCTGTTCTATATCTACTCCTCAATAAAGCATGTTCTCTGCTCAAGCCTGTTTCACTCAGGGGCTCTTCTTTAAGTCTGCGAAGGGCGCAGCCCACCTGCCATTAATAGTGAGCACACTGGGGGGTTATTTTCCCCGGCAGTGAGGTGACTGTTGAGGGATGTGGTTTGTGGCTGTGGGATTTTTTTTTTTCCTCTGATGCAGGCTATCTATAGAGGGAGTGATTACTCTGAACTTGTCTAGTTGGTGGGAAGAATTCTCTGCCTCGCTTGGTTGCCGCTAATGGGTATGCATAGTGATGACAAGTCAATATTACTCTTTTTTTTTTTTTTTAAAGCTGTATGCCCAATGTGGGACCCTAACTCAACCCCAAGATCAAGAGTTGCATGTTCCTCCAACCAAGCCAGCCTTGCGCCTCAGTGCTACTCATTCTTAAGCTCATTTTCCTGTGATTTCAAGGGCAAGGGCACCGGCAGGAAGTTAGGATAGATGGGGTACAGTGGATACTTGGGATGGGGTGGGGACAGGTTTATCTCTTCTCGTCTCCCAAGTTCATTTGCCAGTAGTGAACATTGTCCCCCCGCCCCCCAGTCATGGATTCTCCCAGCTTGAGAGGATTTCTGGAAGCTGCGTTGTCCTGCAGCATTTATCCAGTGCAGGCAAACAGGCCGGCACTTACTTGGATGCTGGAAGGTGTATTTGCTGGGGTGGTTTTGCTCAGCATAGTAGGGTTGAGAACCTATCCTGGTGGATAAACTAGGGATTCTCCTTTGTAAGGTTAGAGTCCTGTGTGCCACTTACTGGGGGTGGAGACTGGGTTGGAGAGAAGCTTGAGGTTACAGAAAGACCCTTTTTACACTGTTTGATATACACTCAAATCTCCCCATTCTAGATATTTGTAATGAAGGGAAATTCTGCTCCCTCACATTCTGAAAATACAAGGGTAGATGATAATGAACCATGCGAGTAGATGCTGAGGGTTCAGGGCACTTGAAGTTTTGTGCACTGTCGGGCCCCCAAGACTCCTGATTGCCACCCAACTTGCCTTACCAAAAAATAAAAAGATTTCTCTGGTTTAAATACCTCACAGGTATGGAAACAGAATTTACTTCCTTAGCAACTTTGTGTAAAACTGTCCCCTCCGACTCTAGCTGCATGAGAGCAAGTCCGCTGTTGGGCTCCTTCCTTAGCAGAGCAAGTGCAGAACTGTTCCTGGGTCCAGCTCCCGAAACCCTTTAAGAAGAAGCGCCCACTCTATCTGGAGGACGAAGGGAGCCCCGACGTGCTGGTTGCTTCCTATATGCTTGGCGCTGCCGGGTGCCTTCCTCCTGCCTCCTCTGACCCCCACGTCAGCCCCAGTGCAGGAGACATTCACACTGGTTTGGCAGGAGGAGACCGGGAGCCCAAGGTGACAGCAATGAGGGCAGAGAACTCCTTTTGGTCTCTCCAACTTGAGAACTTCCACCCTCCCCTCTACCATTTGCTTTCTCTACTTTTTTAGTTCCGTAATGATTAATCATCCTTTCCTTTTTAGTTAGGTTGCCTGGCTTTGGCCACAGGCCCCCATGCTTCTAGTGGCTTCCATTACAAGAAAAATAATGGAACTGGTGGAACCTTCAGATGAAAGAAGGGATTTTAATTGATCCTGTAAGTAGCATTTGGGGACCAGAGGCCCAGCAAGCAGCAACTGTTCCCCAATCTGACACTGCTGCTGATTTAGGAATAAGCTGTTCAGTAAGCACTGTCCCTTGACTGGTTTCCCTCCTCACCACACCTCTGTAAGGTGGGTATTCTCTGCCTCTTTCTCATTGGAAAGTTGGGGGCTTAGAGGTCTTGCCTCTGGGTTATGGAGCCCCAGCCCTGATTTTCTGATTCCAAACCCATTCCTAAAGCTGTCAGGAGGCCTCTGATGCTGTGTCTGTTCCCGTTTCTCACAAGGGGGAGTAGTGAGTCAAGTGATTGGTGACCATATGGTTTACCCTTTACGGGGTAAGAGGACACTTGACTTAGCTTTGTTTTGTCCTCCAGTTCTGGGCAGATTGCCTGCCTCGGCTTAAGAATGACCTCGAATGGAGTTGATGTGAAGGCAGTTGGTTCAGGTCGAGGTTGGGGCTACATGTGAAAGGCCAGTAGAAAAGACCACAGCTTGCTTGCAGTACACATTCCTTCTGGAATACAGAATGGAATGGAACACAACACATCTTAGAGGTATATTAGTGACTTCAAGCGTAATTCTAAACCTGCCTGCCTTTGTCTGAAGAGCAACTGCTAAGCCAAATGGCATTCCAGAAGCAGGGTTTGTGTGAGCCGTGCCAGGATCAAGCAGTGTAGCTCTCAGCAGCGATCCTTTCTACCTTTTTTCTCTTCTGACCTTATGAGAAGAATCTTAGAATTGGATCTTCTTGAACACACATGATGCAAATTTCTCTACAGTTCAGGAAATTGGACCTTTGAAGTCCATTCCTAGACTGGGGTCAAATAAGAAACCTTGGTTTGGGGCACCTGAGTGACTCAGTTGATTAAGTGGCTGCCTTTGGCTCAGGTCACGATCCCGGAGTCCCATGATCAGGTCCTGCGCGGGGCTCCCTGCGTGTGGGCACCACCCCCCTCCCGCCATTCTCAAGTGAATACATAAAATCTTTAAGAGAAGGAAAGAAAGAAACCTTGGTTCAAAACAGAAAGCCTCCTTGAGCAGGTATTAACTCTGCCTTCACTCACCCCAAGGCCCTAAACTGGCTGGCGTGTGCAGGCTCAAATAACAGGTCCCATTGAGTGAAGCAGTGACCACCAAGGGAGCAGGCCTGGCTCGCTGTGGCGCTGTTTCCTCCCATGCCTCACAAGTGCAGGTATATACAAAATGTGGCCCAGGGTTCTGCACGTTACTAGAATAAAGTGAAAACTCCTTTGCTAAACATGTGCTGTGTGCTAGGAATTCTGAAAACTCTTTTTGCTCTTTGCTGGGATCCTGGAATGCTAGTACTAGACCCATGGGTTTTTGCCCCAGAACTTTCTGCTACAGACTTTTATGACCTCGTCTTCCAGACTGTTTCCTGCTGCTGGGAGCACTATAATTGCCCACTTCCTTTGTGGCGTCTTCCAACAAAATGCCAATGCATGTCACCAAGAATGAAACAAAGGACTGCCCGGTGGTGACAAATGTCCCAGATGCTCGTACTTCTCTTCTGTCTTGTGCATTCCCTGTCCACGTGGGTCATGCTGCCACCACTTGGGGGCTGGGGGGCTCGTTTATTTGTGCACAGGAGTGGAGAAAATAACCTGCCTGTTGCGCAACATCAGCTCCGTAGCTCCTCCCAGATGTTCTCCGTGAGCTATAAACACCTTTTTCCTTGACAAGTCCGGTTCTTTCCAAGAAGCTGCTCTTTCTTAACCGGGTGCCCGTTTCTGGGAACAGCTCACTGTGTATTTATTCCGAAGTCATTAGAAACCTACACTCTTGTTTCACATACACACAAACCTGGTGTGGTAGATCATCTCCAGAGCTGACCACCAGCAATTTCTGCCATTTCTGGGTATGTGTTCTTCCAATAAGAGATTTTTCCTTCTTGAGTGTGGGCTGGACTTTTCATTATTTTGACTAATCGAACGTGGCAGAAGTAATGTTCTGGCAGCTTCCCCTTCGGCTGTTGGAAACCAGCAGAAATATTTCCAGACCAGAAGCTTGAGCTACCGTCAACGGTGAGGGCCGCATAAGAGAGACCACGCAGGGTAGGGCCAAGAAGCTGCAGCCTCTAGCACCCAAATGCCCGCCCCCTCCCAGCTGAGTGCAGCCTCAGCCGTGACCCCTGCTGCGGGAAGCCAAAGAAATGCAGCCGAGTCCTGCCAACCTCGGGAACTGCGAAAGACTGCTGTAAGCCATTCGTTGTTTTGGCACGGTTCGATACACAGCAGTGGGTAAATGCAGGAAGAGAACTTCTGAAATGAAAACGAATTTGGTTTGACCTCAGAGGTTCCGTCAGCCGATTGCCTGTGATTGGGAACCAGATGTGCCTGGCGAGGGCCGCCACCCTGTGTAACTCCAGGGGGCGCTATTCCTATTCCGTACAGTGGCACCCTGGGAGCCTGGGAGCCAGTTTGAGCCCTGTTTGGCCATTCAGCTTGTCTCGCTGTCAGTCAAATTGCTCCTGAAGTCCCTGCCTGGCCTGGGAATCTTAGCTACCTCCTTACAGAAGTGGATCAGGAAAAAGGAAGAATATCCTGCTCTTAAGACCTGGCTTGTCACTTCCCTGCTTATCCATGGGGCTTGGATTAAGGTCACAGATCCTGGCTTTCAAGTCTGTCCATAAACTGACTCAGCCTACGTAGCTTTCATCATTACCCGACACCTAGTCTCAAAATGCAACTGGATTAGTCTGTATCCCCTTTCCTGTTTTTACTGGGAAATCCACCACTTCAACAGCCCCCCCCCCCCCCCCGCACAATATATTGCATTGAACACAATAGTATGGGCAAAAAGGATACTGTAGTCGTATAAACTTGGAAGACAGTTAAAAAGTATCAGTATGTTTCTTGACATCAGAGCTGCTCAAAACCTCCTCCCTCTGGGGGTTTTCCTAGAGGGAAGACACAGTAACATTTCCTGAGAGACTGGTACACTGGAGGCTTATATTTGGGTTTCTTTCTTACCAGTTGAAAACGTCCAGGAATTCCTTGTGAAGTCTTAATTCTGCCCGGGACTTGTCTGTATGATTATGGATGGCATAGACCAAGTAAGGTGGGGAGGGGTTGGGTGTTTGGTGTGAAGGCACCTTGGCTCAAATCCTGGCTTTGCCATTTCCTGTGTAACTTGGAGCACGTGGCTTATCCTCATCTGCAGAGTGAGGACAGTGATTGTGAAGGGAAAATTGTCTTGCGGAATGCCTGATTTGTACACCAATACTCATTTGTACAAAAAAGATGTGGACCTTGCATTCTGGAGGAGACCGATATTAATACATATGATTTCTTTTTTTTTTTTTTTAAAGATTTTATTTATTTATTTGAGAGAGAGAGAATGAGAGAGAGCACATGAGAGGGGGGAGGGTCGGAGGGAGAAGCAGACTCCCTGCCGAGCAGGGAGCCCGATGCGGGACTCGATCCCGGGACTCCAGGATCATGACCTGAGCCGAAGGCAGTCGCTTAACCAACTGAGCCACCCAGGTGCCCAATACATATGATTTCTAATTGTGATCAGTGCCATGAAGGGAAAAGGACAAGGTGTGTGAGCAGAGCTAGAAGGAGCCCTGTCTGAGAAAGGGCCTTTATCCCGGGGCCTGAACAATGAGGAATTAGTCCAAGGAGGAGTGGAGGGATGGGGGCAGTGCTCAGACAGTGGGGAGTGCCTAGCTACAGACCCCAGTGTAAGCAGCCCCTTGCTGTGTGTGAGGGCCTGCGAGAAAGCCTGGCTTGGGTGTGTGGGGGGGGGGAGTGGGAAGAACCTGAGGACACAGGGCCTTGGAGGCCTTCAGGAGACTGTCAGGTTTATCCCAAGAAGCTGAATCATGGCCAGCAGGGGATGGCATGACCTGATTTCTCATTTTAAGAGGTCATGCTCCTGGTGGAGAATGGATGGGTCAGGTCTGGCAGTAAGATGGGAAGCAAGGAAGTCACTTGGGGCTGCCTCCCCCCGGGGAACGGCAGACTATGGTTTGTATTAACAGTGGTAGTGGAGGGGGGAAGGAATTTGAGATGGTTTTGGAGAGACCAAGAACTAGGGGATATATATTCCATGTGGGGAGCGGAGAGCGGAGGGTAATTCCCAGCAGCAGGGTACTTGGAGATGCCGTTGGTGGGGATGCCCACCACGGGGTGGGGAGTGGCTTTGGGGCAGTAGGTGAAGGGTTCGGCAGCGGGACGCGGTGAGTTTGAGAACTGCAGGATACACATTCCATAAGTGGTAGCTGCTATTATTTATTTCGGGTACTTGCATTAAGTATGGCTCTCTAGAGACAGAGACTCTCCAAGGACAGGAAGTATGAGTCTTGTCAAACACTCTCCAAGGACCTCTCAGGGGCCAAGCACCAGTGCTGGCACTGGGATAAAGATAAATCGGATGTGTCCGTGTATTTGGGAGAAACTGTGAATCAGAACATCTAATGTTAAGTGTTGTCATGGGGGAACGTGCAAGGGGCTTGGGGAACTCAGGAGGGAGTGAATGGGTAGTTCCCGGCTGGGGAAGGCGTTACAGAGATATTGACCTTGGAGTTAAGACTTGCCCAGAATGGCATGTGCAGAAACCAGAAGCTTGAGGGAACTTGGTGGGTTTGAGCAAGGAGAGCAAGGAGAGCAGGGCGTGGGCTTTGGACATCTCAGCTCCCCTGTGAGGTCATTAGGTTTTCAAGGACAAATGTGTCTCCCACTTCTTCAATCCTCCCAGTGCCATCTGAGTTCCTGGCAAAGTGCCCGCACAGAGAGGAAACTCACCAAATTTTTGGTGACCCCAGTTTCTCTTAAATGTCCCAAACTTCAAACACGAGAAGAAAATCTTCAATCTTCACGGATCCTTCAAGTTTGGCTATGACAGTGAACCGCCTCTTGGGCCCAGAGCACCAGGTGGGGTGAGTTGGGGAAGGCGCCGGGGGTGCCCCGGGAGTGAGGGGTTTGGGAATGTATGGAATAAGTGCGTTCACTGGGGGATTCTGTCGTGGTGTCTGGAGAGGGCGCACACCGCCCCCACCCCCGGGCGGCGCGCTGGGCCTGGGTAAGGTGGGAGAAGGAAGACCGGGGAGGCCTGAGATTTATTCAGGGCTCATGACAAACTGTCTGTCTTAACATAGAGGCTATTTCATTACAGGGCAAACAGGGATTTTGCTGGCTGTGCGGACACCTGGCCACTCCTTAGTGGTCTCTGCTGTTGCTAAAAGCTTCCCCGGCGCCCAGGTGAAGGGCATGCCTTCTCCTCCAGGGCCACTTCCTCTCCTTCTAAAACAGCCTGGCCACCCACTCCCAAAGGATCAGACGTCCCCCCAAAAAACGTCTAACCCATTCTTTGTGGAGAGAGGGACACAGAGGCTAAATGTTATGTAGCCTAGCAAATTCACTAATTGTCCTCTACTGCTGAGCCCACCCCACTCCCAGCTCGTTCCTTTACGCAGCCCTCCGTGCTCATGACCAGCTTTGCCCTCCACGATTTCATTCTGGCTGAGGTGCCTCTCTCTAAGCATCCTGGGGTTCTCTGCATCCTGCCCCATTAACCACAGGGACAGTGACAGTGGTCTCCCCATCAGACGGGGGGCTCCCTGAGGGCAGGAAGTGCTTCGTGCCCCTGGAGCTCTTCCCAGTGCTCAGAGCATGACTAACTGCCTGTGTCCCAAAAGCAAAGCAGTGAGTTGAAGGGCCACTTCATGCATGAGAATTGAGGAAGGACCTGGGACCCAATTCTCCAGGTCAGAAGACACAGGGATTTGGGGCGTTGAGATGAGGACTCTGAGTAGGGAGAAGGCGTCTGCTTTCAGGTGGGGGCTGTCCTCACCTGTGTCCCAAGCCTGTTTTCCCACCCAAGCGTGGGGACCAGGGCTGTTTACTATTTCCCTTTGCAGTTCTGGAAAAGTGTCCCCCGCCCCGGCCTGCTGCGCTGTAGGCCGCTAGGCAGGGTGTAACACCCAGACCGTTCCTGCCCTTTGCCCTGTACCAGAGAAGAAGCTATTCGCTGTTTGTCCGTTTATTGAGCCCCTACGGTGTTCCAGGCACAGGAGACCTAGAAGTGGGGGACACAGCCCCGCTTAGCAGTGAGATGGGGGCTGAGCACTGAGGGAGGGCAGGGTCACTTCAGCTCACAACTGCAACAACAGTGCATTTGTGCATCACCATTGCATAGGACCGAGAGTCCTAGAAGGAAGCGCAGTGAGTTCAGTGAGGCCGGGTGGGACACACCAGTGTCGGGCGCAGGGGACACCCACAGAAGAGAGTTGGCCTGGCCGGACTGTCAGCTGTATTGTCCAGGGAAGGAGACGGCGGGTTCGTCCTCCGGGAAGTGTGCGGTGGGGGTGCTCACTCTGACCCATGCTCCTCGTCCTCTCTGCCTGGGAAGAGTTCTGTACGTGGCAGTGGTTTCAGGAGTCTTGTCTGTCTCCTCCACCCTTGGGGGGACTTCCCTAGTCACTCCTCCCTGGGCCCTCCGTTTCCCTAACTCAGGCTGTAGCTGTCTGGGGCAAATTACAAGTTCATCTGCCATATCTTCCTGTTCTCAATCGGAAGCGCCTCCAGAGCATGGACGAGCCAGCCTTCAGCTATTCTCTCTAAAAGGAGGGAAGTGCCGATCTAGTATTTGCAAGCCCAAAGGCCCTCCTAGAGACGCGGAAGGTGCCGCGGACTAGGTAACGGCAGACCCAGCTTTAGCCCCGGCTGTCCTTGGCTCACTGTGTGACTTCAGGCAAGCTGCTTTCCATCCCTGGGAAATGGGATTCCTGCCCACACTCTGTGTGGAGGGACATTCATCTCCATTTGGGTACTGAGGTGACTTCCATGGCCCTTAGAATGGAATGGCTCAGACACTTAGAAAAGAACCCTGGGGGGAAAGAGAGGACTTGCCATCTTTATTCCAAAGTGCTTATGTTGGAAAGAGCAGGTGTTCGATCAGGGAAGCTAGAAAGGCATCCTGCTAGAGGATGCGCTCCGGAGGAAGAGATCGGGCATTAGCGAAGGCCGACTGGAGCTCGGTATCTCTGACCCCCTCCCATGCCGCTGGCTTGAGCTTCTGATCTTTCCCCCGCCTGCGTCGCTTATCTACCTTCATGCCTGTTTATTCATTTATTGAATGTACCCTTGGGCCCGTTGGGGTTGTGGCCCCTGCCAGAAGGTGTTAGCTGCTAACTGCTTACGGTGTGACCCCTCGCAGAGTGATTCACACTTACGATTGCTGAGGAAAGGAAATATCTCAAGACTAAGGCATGACTTCCTAACAATCATTGATCACTGTGGGAATAAGGGGGATGTTCCAGGGTCTGAAAAAACACACATGATACTCTGTGGCTTTAGCTGGACCTGAGAAGGCGGGGTGTAGAGTGTGCTTGGGCGTGCTGGGGGTGGAGAGGGTACAGCTTCTGGACTCTGGCTGTCTCAAGCCTGGATCATCAAAGGGACCACCTCCCTACGCCTCAGCTGCTCTCTTCTATGGGACATCTGCCCAATGGCTTGTGGGCAGGCTGCTCCGTCTGTCCGTCTGCCTGGCCCCCACCATGGAGACTGGCAGCGAGGTATCTGGTCACTTTCTCATGATGCCCTTGCAATCCACCAGAGGCTCTCACCTACCTTCTGTAGATGGTCCCGCCCTGCCCAGGAGGCCCTGCACCATTTGTCCTTGCGGATGCTCTGGTGGTGGAGCTAGAAGAGATAGAGAAGAAAGAAGGCAGCAGAGTAAGGCTGTCCTGGGACCCAAGAAGGGCAGGGCAGGGCCAGGACCAGAGCTGGGGCCTCGTAAAGGCAGTCATTCCTCAAGCATCCTGGGAGATGAGGAAAAACCGTGGATTGGTTCGTTCATTTACTGATTCATTCATTGATTCCCACCTCTTTCTCCTTCATTCTCCCTCCCTTTTGCCCTCCCTTCCATAGATACCTAGTGGGTACCTCTCATAGACAGAAACTGCTCGTGCTGTGGGTACAGAGGAGGTGGCCCACCTGCTGCTGCCCATGGTGGGAGGGGTTCTGCTCTGGGGACACCGGCCACGTGACCCGGCAGTGCAGGGCAGGGCAGGGCGCCAAGGACAGCATGGCACCCAGGCCACGGAGACCAGCTCCATCTGGGTAGGGCAGGCAGTCGGGGAAGAAGAGGTGGGGCCTGGAGTCAAGTCAGTGAGAGCAGCCCCAGAGGATGTGGTGAGGCGTCAGAGCATTGGACTTGATCCTGAGAGAGTACTGAGGGTGTGGTGGGTAAGGGCTGGTTGGTTTTCTTTTGATTTTTTTTTTTTTTCCCTTTTCACCAAGGATTTTGGGCAGGGTACTGGCTGCTCATATTTGCACTTTTCAGATCCTTCTA